ATGTTTGTTTTCCAGCTCAACACATTTATGCGTGTGCCGCAGGTGAATGTATACTGTTTCAGTCGTATACGTATGTGTGTTCCACGTGTACACACATGTGTGTCTGAATTGGACATGTGTGTTTGAACTGCCCATGTGACTGCGTGCTTGCGCGGCCACACTTGCGTTCACGCGCGCGCGCTCGCCCGCCATCGCGCGCGCTTGCCCAACCTCAGTTCTGGCGCGGTGCTGAAGCGCGAAGCATGCCAGCAACACACGTGCAGCAACGCAACGCGCGCCAGGTTCACGACTGCATCATTTTGATTCATCCGTGTTGAAGCGCAGAAAGCCACAAGCTGTTGGCATGTTTGTGCTCGCCCGTCAGCCCTCAACTGTTTGGGGTCTCTGCTGGTGTAATTTGTTTGATTGTTTGATTGTTTCTTTGATTGACTGATTGATTGATTGATTGATTGATTGATTGATTGATTGATTGATTGGTTCGCCGTTTGTCGGTTATTTTGCTTGATTTATTGATTGCCCGTGTCTTTGTGTGTTTGGATTGTTTGCATGTGTGTTCGTTTGTTCGTTCGTTCGTTCGTTTGTTTGTGTTTTTTTGTTTATTTGCTTGCTTGCTTGCTTGCTTGTGTGCTTGTCTTGTTGTTAGTTTGGTTGGTTGGTTGTTTGTTTGTGTGTGTGTTTGTTCGTCTGTCGGATTGCTTGTTTGACTGGCCGTCTGTTTTTGTTTGCTTGCTTGCTTGCTTGCTTGCTTGCTTGGTTCCTTGCTTGTTGTGGGCGCGCTTGTGCTTGTGTGAGCTCTTTTGTTTGCTTGCTTGCTCTCTTGCTTGTCCGTCTGTCTGTCTGTCTGCTTGCTTGCGTATGTGTGGGTGCTTGAATGTGTGTGTGCGTGTTGGCCTGCTCGCTTGTTTGTTTTTGTTGGTGATTGTTTATTTGGTTGTTTTGTTTGCTTCTTGCTTTTGGTCTGTCTCTTTGTTTCTTGATTGCTTTGTATGTCTGTCTCTCTGTCTACTCGCTCGCTCGCTCGCTCGTTCGCTCGCTCGCTCGGTTGCTTCCTTGCTTGCTTGCTTGCCTGCCTGCGTGCTTGATTGTGTGTGTGTGTGTGTCGTGCGTGTTTGTGTTGGTTCTTGTGCTTCCGTTTGTGTTTATGATTGTGTCTGCTTGTTTTGTTTGTTTGCTTGCTTGCTGGCCTGCTTGATTTTTGCTTATTCCCGAAAGCATCGCGACGGGTTCTTCCGTGCGGAGCCCTTGGACAAGCTACACAGAGCCAAGTTGCACAGAGCCAAGTTGCGCAGAGCCAAGTTACATAGAGCCAAGTTACATACAGCCAAGCTACATAGAGCCAAGTTACATAGAGCCAAGTTACATAGAGCCAAGTTACATAGAGCCAAGTTACATAGAGCCAAGTTACATAGAGCCAAGTTACATAGAGCCAACATAGAGCCAAGTTACATAGAGCCAACATAGAGCCAAGTTACATAGAGCCAAGTTACATAGAGCCAAGTTACATAGAGCCAAGTTACATAGAGCCAAGTTACATAGAGCCAAGTTACATAGAGCCAAGTTACATAGAGCCAAGTTACATAGAGCCAAGTTACATAGAGCCAAGTTACATAGAGCCAAGTTACATAGAGCCAAGTTACATAGAGCCAAGTTACATAGAGCCAAGTGGCACAGAGCCAAGTGACACAGAGCCAGGTGGCACAGAGCCAAGGTTAGGTAGAGCTTGCGTAGAGCTTCGGCGTAAGCAGCTATGTAAGTTAGTTTAGGTTTCTAAGGCGCCGGGGCGGGAGTTTGATCATCGCTCGGGATTGCGACCCTCTGCGGAGATTCGCGTGGTCGAGGTTCAAAAACTGAGGACTTTTTACGATTTCTGCGGTGCGCGCGCGACCCTCTGCGGAGATTCGCGTGGTCGAGGTTCAAAAACTGAAAACTTTTAGCGATTTCTGCGGTGCGCGCGCGACCCTCTGCGGAGATTCGCGTGGTCGAGGTTCAAAAACTGAGGACTTTTTACAATTTCTGCGGCACGCGCGCGACCCTCTGCGGAGATTCGCGTGGTCGAGGATCAAAAACTGAGGAGTTTTTAGGATTTCTGCGGTGCACGCGCGACCCTCTGCAGAGATCGTGCGCGTCGAAGCGCTCTCGCTGTGGCGCCGTGCGAATTTGTCTTAGTCTCGGCGAACCCTCTGAAGAGATTGTGCGTGTCGAAGCGCTCTCGCTGTGGCGCCGTGCAATTTTCTTGCTCGCGAAGTGGCCTTTGGAAGTTGTCTCTTGGTTTGCGCGCCTGCTTTCGCAATCCCGCGGTCGCGGGCTCGATTCCCCCCTGGTCCGCGGCAGCTCCGGCTTGAAAATCGCAGCTTTTAAGTACAAACGTAGTACGCGGAGCGTGCTCCTGCAGCTCCATCGCAACTTTTAAGTACAGACGTAGTATGCGGAGCGTGCTCCCGCAGCTCAGGCTGGAAAATCGCAACTTTTAAGTACAATCGTAGTACGCGGAGCACACCCCCGCAGCTCCGGCTTGAAAATCGCAACTTTTAAGTACAAACGTAGTACTGCAGCTCCGGCTGGAAAATCGCAACTTTTAAGTACAAACGTAGTATGCGCAGCGTGCTCCCGCAGCTCAGGCTAAACAATCGCAACTTTTAAGTACAATTGTAGTACGTGGAGCACACCCCCGCAGCTCCGGCTTGAAAATCGCAACTTTTAAGTACAAACGTAGTACGCGGACCGTGCTCCTGCCACTCTGGCTGGAAAATCGCAACTTTTAAGTACAGACGTAGTGTGCGGAGCGTGCTCCCAGCTCAGGCTGGAAAATCGCAACTTTTAAGTACACACGTAGTACGCGGAGCACACCCCCGCAGCTCCGGCTGGAAAATCGCAACTTTTAAGTACAAAAATAATACGCGAAGTACATTCCCACAGCTCCGGCAGCACTTGCGCAGAGCAACTTGTGCAGAGTCACTTGCGCAGAGCAACTTGCGCAGAGCAACTTGCACGGAGCAATTGCACAAAGCACTTGCGCAGACTTGCGCAGACCAACTTGCACAGAGCACATGCGCAAAGCGCTTGCACGGAGCAACTGGCGCAGAGCACTTGCGCAGAGCAACTTGCTTACAGCACTTGCGCAGAGCAACTTGCACAGAGCACATGCGCAAAGCGCTTGCACGGAGCAATGGGCGCAGAGCAACTTGCACAGACCACCAACTTGCACGGAGTACGTGAGCAAAGCGCTTGCGCGGAGCAACTGGCGCAGAGCACTTGCGCAGAGCAACTTGCTCAGAGCACTTGCGCAGAGCAACTTGCACAGAGCACTTGCGTGCAGCAGCTTGCAGAGAGCAACTTGCGCGCAGCAGCCTGGAACAATGCAGCTTGCGCAGACCACTTTCGTGAGAAATCGCGCGGCGCAGTTCGAGAGGAAACTAGGATGATGAGATGGAGGTTTCATGTTACCATACGCATTGAGCATCGCCGCGTGCAGACACGCTCGCCGCAGCGATGTAAAAAGGTGTCTCCGCGGCTGGATGAGCACCTGTGCAAAAATGCTTTCGGGCCAATCGTCCTCTAGTCTGTTTACTTGCTTGCTTGTTTGGTTGGTTGGATGGTTGGTTAAATGTTTCTGATTGCCTGAGCTGTAAACATGAAGGCCACGCATCCCTACACATGAAAGGTGCCTCGGCCGGCATCTTGGGCAGTGACTCATCTGAATTGTAGCCATGAAGACTTGAGGCAGCTAACCCCGTCTCTGCTTCAGCCATGCCAGCTGTTGTTGCATGTGCTGCAGTTGCTGTTGCCTCTACAGGCTTCGAAGCTGCACTTGGCGGGCCAACGGGCTGGCCAACCGGTGGACCAAGTGGTGGACCAACAAAAGGACCAAGGGCGGGCTTGGCTGTTGGCAGCGGCGCACCAGGTGCTGGGCCAACAAGTGGACCAAGGGCAGGCTTGGCAGTCGGCTGTGGCGAACCAGGTGGTGGGCCAGGCTTGGCTGTTGGCGAACCAGGTGGTGGGCCAACGGGTGGACCAAGGGCAGGCTTGGCTGTTGGCGAACCAGGTGGCGGGCCAACAGGTGGACCAAGGGCAGGCTTGGCAAATGGCTGTGGCGAACCCGGTGGTGGGCCAACAGGCGGACCAAGGGCAGGCTTGGCTGTCGGCTGTGGCGAACCGGGTGGTGGGCCAGGCTTGGCTGTTGGCGAACCAGTTGGCGGGCCAACAGGTGGACCAAGGGCAGGCTTGGCTGTTGGCAGCGGCGAACCAGGTGCTGGGCCAACAAGTGGACCAAGGGCAGGCTTGGCAGTCGGCTGTGGCGAACCAGGTGGTGGGCCAGGCTTGGCTGTTGGCGAACCAGTTGGCGGGCCAACAGGTGGACCAAGGGCAGGCTTGGCTGTTGGCAGCGGCGAACCAGGTGCTGGGCCAACAAGTGGACCAAGGGCAGGCTTGGCAGTCGGCTGTGGCGAACCAGGTGGTGGGCCAGGCTTGGCTGTTGGCGAACCAGGCTGTGGGTCAACAGGTGGACCAACGGCAGGCTTGTCTGTTGGCGAACCAGGTGGTGGGCCAACAGATGGACCAAGGGCAGGCTTGGCAGATGGCTGTGGCGAACCCGGTGGTGGGCCAACAGGTGGACCAAGGGCAGGCTTGGCTGTCGGCGGTGGTGAACCAGGTGGTGGGCCAGGCTTGGCTGTTGGCGAACCAGGTGGTGGGCCAACAGGTGGACCAAGGGCAGGCTTGTCTGTTGACGAACCAGGTGGTGGGCCAACAGGTGGACCAAGGGCAGGCTTGGCAGATGGCTGTGGCGAACCCAGTGGTGGGCCAATGGGTGGACCAAGGGCAGGCTTGGCTGTCGGCTGTGGCGAACCAGGTGGTGGGCCAACAGGTGGACCAAGAGCAGGTTTGGGCGTTGGCTGTGATTGGGGGCCACCATTGCTTGAGATGACTTGGGGGGGTTCCCCGACAGCATCAGCAGTCGTTCCTGCTGCTGCCTCGCTGAGTGTCTTGGCCAAAGCTGGTGTGGCATGCGCTGCAGTTGCTGTTGCTGCTGCAGGCTTCGGTGCTGCAGGTGGCGGACCGAGAGGGGGCCCCTGAGGCGAACCAGGTGGCGGGCCAACAGGAGGACCAAGGGCAGGCTTGGGCGTTAGCTGTGGTTGTAGGCCACCTGTGCTTGGAATTGCTTGAGGCCCCACAGCATCAACAGTCATGACTGATGCTGCCTCACTGGGTGTCTTGGCCAAAGCTGGTGCGGCATGCGCTGCAGTTGCTGTTGCTGCTGCAGGCTTTGGTGCTGCGGGTGGCGGACCGAGAGGTGGCCCCTGAGGCGAACCAGGTGGCGGGCCAACAGGAGGACCAAGGGCAGGCTTGGGCGTTGGCTGTGATTGGGGGCCACCTGTGCTTAAGATTGCTTGAGCGGGTTCCCCTACAGCATCAGCAGTCATGACTGATGCTGCCTCACTGGGTGTCTTGGCCAAAGCTGGTGTGGCATGCACTGCAGTTGCTGTTGCTGCTGCAGGCTTCGGTGGTGCGGGTGGCGGACCGAGAGGTGGCCCCTGAGGCGAACCAGGTGGCGGGCCAACAGGTGGACCAAGGGCAGGCTTGGGCGTTGGCTGTGGTTGGGGGCCACCTGTGCTTGAGATTGCTTGAGGGGGTTCCCCTACAGCATCAGCAGTCATGCCCGCTGCTGCCTCACTTGTTGTCTTGGCCAAAGCTGGTGTGGCATGCGCTGGAGTTGCTGTTGCTGCTGGAGGCTTCGGTGCTGCAGGTGGCGGACCGAGAGGTGGCCCCTGAGGCGAACCAGGTGGCGGGCCACCAGGTGGACCAAGGGCAGGTTTGGGCGTTGGCTGTGATTGGGGGCCACCAGTGCTTGAGATTTCTTGGGGGGCTTCAGCAGTCGTTCCTGCTGCTGTCTCGCTGAGTGTCTTGGCCAAAGCTGGTGCGGCATGCGCTGCAGTTGCTGTTGCTGCTGCAGGCTTCGGTGCTGCAGGTGGCGGACCGAGAGGGGGCCCCTGAGGCGAACCAGGTGGCGGGCCAACAGGTGGACCAAGGGCAGGCTTGGGCGTTGGCTGTGATTGGGGGCCACCTGTGCTTAAGATTGCTTGAGGGGGTTCCCCTACAGCATCAGCAGTCATGACTGATGCTGCCTCACTGGGTGTCTTGGCCAAAACTGGTGCGGCATGCACTGCAGTTGCTGTTGCTGCTGCAGGCTTCGGTGGTGCGGGTGGCGGACCGAGAGGTGGCCCCTGAGGCGAACCAGGTGGCGGGCCAACAGGAGGACCAAGGGCAGGCTTGGGCGTTGGCTGTGATTGGGGGCCACCTGTGCTTAAGATTGCTTGAGCGGGTTCCCCTACAGCATCAGCAGTCATGACTGATGCTGCCTCACTGGGTGTCTTGGCCAAAGCTGGTGTGGCATGCGCTGCAGTTGCTGTTGCTGCTGCAGGCTTCGGTGCTGCGGGTGGTGGATCGAGAGGTGGCCCCTGAGGCGAACCAGGTGGCGGGCCAACAGGTGGACCAAGGGCAGGTTTGGGCGTTGGCTGTGATTGGGGGCCACCAGTGCTTGAGATTTCTTGGGGGGCTTCAGCAGTCGTTCCTGCTGCTGTCTCGCTGAGTGTCTTGGCCAAAGCTGGTGCGGCATGCGCTGCAGTTGCTGTTGCTGCTGCAGGCTTCGGTGCTGCAGGTGGCGGACCGAGAGGGGGCCCCTGAGGCGAACCAGGTGGCGGGCCAACAGGAGGACCAAGGGCAGGCTTGGGCGTTGGCTGTGATTGGGGGCCAACTGTGCTTAAGATTGCTTGAGGGGGTTCCCCTACAGCATCAGCAGTCATGACTGATGCTGCCTCACTGGGTGTCTTGGCCAAAGCTGGTGTGGCATGCGCTGCAGTTGCTGTTGCTGCTGCAGGCTTCGGTGCTGCAGGTGGCGGACCGAGAGGGGGCCCCTGACCAGGCGGCGGGCCAACAGGTGGACCAAGGGCAGGCTTGGGCGTTGGCTGTGATTGAGGGCCACCTGTGCTTAAGATTGCTTGAGGGGGTTCCCCTACAGCATCAGCAGTCATGACTGATGCTGCCTCACTGGGTGTCTTGGCCAAAGCTGGTGCGGCATGCGCTGCAGTTGCTGTTGCTGCTGCAGGCTTCGGTGCTGCGGGTGGCGGACCGAGAGGTGGCCCCTCAGGCGAACCAGGTGGCGGGCCAACAGGTGGACCAAGGGCAGGCTTGGGCGTTGGCTGTGGTTGGGGGCCACGAGTGCTTGAGATTTCTTGGGGGCTGTCCCCAACATCAGCAGCCACGCCTGCCACTGTAGGTGTGCTGACTGCGATCTCGCGTTTCTCCTTTGCAGTGGGCAGCGGCTCGGGACTGTGATGTTGAGATGCCGGTTCTACAGGTTCCCTTGCCAGTTCTCCCGGCTTTGATCCAGAAAGCACCTCTGCCACTCCGGAGATCGGCTGAAATGCTTGCTCTTCACTTGTAGCATGCCCAGGTGCGGTCGTTTCCATAGCCTCCTTGTGAAGCGACGTTTCGTTGCCTTGCGCCGATTGACCTCCTTGACCTCCTGGCTGCGCTAGGAAAGTCACGTGTTCAGCTGATGCGGTCAAGTCAGCAGCCTGAGATGCCATGACTTGGCTGACGACTTGGCTGTCTCCCATGACACCGAATTCTGCACTGCCAAGCCATCCTCGGCTGTCTCCCAAAAATGTCAACCCCGGACGAATAAACCCTGTGGATTCCCCTTAAAGTACAGAGCTTCTCCTGACGAGAGGTTTCTTTGTCCGCGTCATCAAATCCCCACCATGCCTACGACCTCCTCGCTCCCTTCCTTGCTGCAGGCAACCAGCCATGCCTGACGTATCCGGGCAGGCGTGTGTCAGGGCCTAATCGATGCCACGGACCTCTTTGAGGGTGACAAATACATAGTGTATTTAGTGTTTTGGGGCTGGTTCAAAGTGTAAAGGGAAACAAAAGGGGAACCACCAGTTCTGGGATTCCCAATTGCACAATCATGCTGCCCCCTCTGTGGGGAAACCACTGCACCTTTCTCTGCGGAGGATAGTGATTGCTTGCTTGTTGAAAGTGATGAAAAAGAACAAACACCTCAAATCAAAATAGCACGCTCGGGTCGCCTTGTGTTTTGCGGGAAGCGCTGCCCATGTCCCTGGCAACCGCAGCATAGCCTCATATATTCCTCGTGGGTTCTAACTCGTGTGGATTGGAGACGGGAGGCGGCCACTCTCAGGGGTACGTGACAACAGTGCCTGAGTGTTTCAGTGGAAGCCTCAAATTTTGTAGGCCCACCGTCATTGGATGAATTCCAAATGGGCGTATGCGATTTTTGAGGGTACCTCATACTTCTACCAATTGCCTTCATAGTCTTAGGAGTTGCTTTTCCCAAAACCGGAAGCAAAAAAACGGCTGGTCGGAAAGATCCAAACAACATGTAGTTTAGCAAATCAAGGTTTGACAAGCTCAGAAAGGGTACCTTCAAGGCCACTCCCCCAACAATAATATGAACCCCCTTAATCCTGGCACTCTTTAGCCCCACCTTCCTGGCCTGACAGGACTGGAGGGGACCAACATCTGAGCTTAAGGCGTCAACATTGGTTTGGATTGAATGTGAAAGCCAAACCATCTTCTCCCGCCCCCCCTTTTCTTTGGCTTCCGCCTTTCTCTTGATCCCCACCAAATCCCTCCCCACCCCACCACCCCCCCAACCACCCAACCCCCCCCCAACCCCCCAACCGCGTTTGTATCGAGCCGACCGAACCCCAAGCGACCGCAAACTGCTCGAGCCTCGAGGGCATCCTCCAGGCGCCGTCGCTGGAGCTTCTTGGCGGCCAACAAGGGCCGCAGCAGCAACCGCAGCTCGGTGACCTCGCCGCCCGGGCCGGGGTGTTTTGCTCCTTTGAGGCTCGGCTCGGTCTCACTTTTGGGGGAGGGTCCTTTTTTTGTTTCGAGGGACAACCTCCGAAATCCATGTTGGGGTCCTCCTATTTCGCATGAGGCACCCTCAAACCAGCAAGTTGAGACCCTCTCTTTTGGGCGACCAGGTCATTGCGACTCCAGGCCTTGAGATTCCCAAGAAATCAAGGGGCCAACTTTCCCAGGGCCAGTTTGCAGGGCGGAACCAGACCCGAGCACCACTGCCACGCATGCCCGCATTTACCAGGCACATGTTGGTATGTATTTCCGACATGTATTTGTGTGGCATAGCAAACCAATCAAGCAAGCAAAGGAACAACTAGGCACAACAGGTTCTCAATGGGGAATCGATAGACCGCTTGCTTGTTCCTCGCGGCATCCTTCAAGGGGGGTTTGAGTCTTGGGGATCTTGGGAGTGTAATTGTGTTGGAGTTGGTACCCTTTGGTTGGTTTGAAAGCGCAAGGAAGCCACCGGAGTTGTCTTTCCGGCTCAGCGAATCGTTCAGGAATGAGCTGGATGGGAAACCAGCCGGATGGCTCAGCGCAAGATGGATCGCCGAGAACGAGATCGCACGAATCCGCGGTTCCAAGCCGCCAAGGACATGATGGACACTTCGTGGGTCAAGAGTGCAACCCACAAACAGGCGCCCGGACAAGCTGCCAAAGCGAAGCCAATGATGGAGCTTGATGCACCCCCAAACAGATGGAGAAGGCATAGGTGTGTTGGGGGGGCAGGAGCAGGCAGGCTTTTGAACGAAGACTCCCGTGTGGTTCGCATTTGGCCACTGTGAATTTGCTAGGGCTCCCTTGCGGTGTGTCCCATGGAGAGACATCCATAGCAGCCAAACAAGCATTCAAACATTCAAATCCCCGATTAAATCGCCCCCTTAGAACATTTAATGATTCAAAGCTCGCTTGGGCTGGAAGGCTTGTCACTGCCATTTGCAACACAAAGCCCCCTTCAAACCACTCGGAGTTTCGCCGAGTCACGGGTCTTTTGTCCTTGCTGACTCTCTTGTGTAATCCTTTCCGATCATGCTGTATATCCGTCCAACCAAATCTAGATTCAAATCCACACCTAAGGGCTTGCTTGAGTCCCTCAATCTGTTCTTGCCTTTGTTTCACACGTTGTTTGACATGTTCATCGCACCAGGGATGTGGACTATAATTACTAGCCCGGCCATTTATGTTTTGCGCCTCCAACAGGTTGGCTTTGGACAAGAGAAAGAAAAGGTTCAAATCTTTTTGGGGCCATGACTAAAAGTCGTTTCCAAAAAGTCGTCGCCAAAAATAAGAAGAAAAAAACACATTCTCCAACAAGTAGTCTCCAAAACTAGCCAACAGCTTTCCCAACCAGGGGGACTCCCCAAGCGGTCCAAAGGTCCATTCGCTTTGGGGCAGAATCCTTAACCCATCGTACAGCCAACGCCTGCGACTCCGCCAGGCGTAAGCCCAGGCTCACCTCCCGGTTTCGTTCGGCTCGGTTCGATGCTCTCTCAGGTCTTTGCAGTGGGAAACTCATTCAGCCCAAACTGTTCTTCCTTGTTGTTTTGATCTCATGAGGGATGAACTCCTGATAGTTGGGCTCAACATTTCAGCAGCTGTGGTTACGCAGGTTTTAGTCTTTGCTTCCATTTACCAGGGTACCATTTGGGTACAGTTTCTTGACCCACAGTCAGTTTTGCTGCGTCCATGGGGGGTGGAAGACCTGTTAAACTCCAAAGGGATTGATGGAACCTACCAAACAACTCTTGGGCTGGAACTTTGGACCGTCTGGAAGAAATCAACCGCTCAGCCGCGCGCTTTTCTTTCTCTTGAAATCCGTTGGGGGGGATGTCAACAAGCTTGAAAATTGTGTGGGGAGTTGCTCAAAAAGGTGTGAAGGTCGACGGTAAACTGCAGTCTGGCCAAAAACAACGTCAACGTCAACTTGCACCCCCCCCTTCCCCTTTTGGGTCCCCCTGCAAGAACGCAAAACAAGTGGAACCCAAAGCCAAAGCAATGCTGCGTGCCAACTTGCTGACTCAAGGAACGCTTACAAACCCTTTTATTTTGCTTCTTTGCCGTTTCCTTCCGTCCCGCGCCTAACCCCCAGCCAAAACCCAAGCAGAACCTAAGCATCAGAGATGCTTCTTGGGCATGAGGGTCCTATATTTTGATGAACCTAGCCGAAGCTAACCCCAGTTGTTCACCGATAGAAAACGACTCAGAACCCTTTTTGGGCCACCGAACAACTCGCGGATTGGGCGCTGAACACATCAAAATCCGCCTGGCGGCACCCGTCGCAGCTGGGATTGGCAAACTCGTTCTCGAGCCACAGAACCTGCCGGTGCTCGGAAAGAAACCCGTCCTTCGTCCATCGGTTGAGGAGTTCATAGAATCAGAGGGGCACTTGACACCACAAACCATTATCCCATCTGTCTTCGAAGTCCTTTGAAATCTTGTAATGAAATGTCGCAACCTATATCATTAAAAAAATGTCCTAGTATGAATATGTCCCACCCCCTTGTTCACCCCCTGGTTCTGGCACACAAAAGTCACCGCTTCCACACAGCCCCTGGTTTCTGCGAAAAACATGGTGATCGTCCCCTGAAAGCCAAGCACCAATGGACAGACTATTTGCTTTGCCGCACCTCAACCAGGTTTTGAACCCGGAAGCCTCTACTTGGCAAATGACTTTCGAGCTTGGTTCCCTTTGCAGCACTATGGCATAGTGGAGAAAATTGGTCCCAAAAAAACAACATGTAAACCCAATTTGCTCTCCATTCAAGTGTCATCCACCTGAAGCACCCGAATGTTGTTTGCCCCACATGAGTCCTGGTCCAAACCTGGTATTAATGTTATGACGCACTTAATCAGAGAGAGAGCCCCGCAAAAATGGTTTATGGATTTTCTGATTTATTTATGATGTCATTTGCGTTTTTTTTTTTTTTTTTTTTTTTTTTTTTTTTTTATTATTTGTTCATGGTGTCAGCTGCCCCCTAAATTTCATTTGTGATTACTTTATGATGGTTTTATGTTTTGTGTTTGGTGTGATCTGCCCCCTAAATGTCATTTGTGATTACTTTATAATTAGTTTATGACTATTTTATGATTGTTTAAAAACCATAAGTGACGAGTGACCCCAATCATAAAATGATCATAACTAAATCGTAAAAAAAGAGATGTGTCTTTGTGGCTACTTTGTGACTCTCAATATTAATGGGGTCCACCCGATCCATGTACAGACTTCAAAAGCGGGGAGATCCACGCCTATTCATCGTTGTGACCCTACTCTTCCACAAATGGAATGGATTTGTCCTTTGCATTTCCCTTTAAACCCAAACTGAAAAGACCAACTCCAAACAAACACATATATATATATATAAATGGGTTTGTACTTTCTTCGAAGATACCCTTCTCAGGTTGGTTTGAAGAGAAGCCACGATAACCATCAATTCGCGGGCGGTGGGGGGGGGTTGACGCGGACCCATGCATATATATATATATGTATATTCATGTCGCCGTGGTCCACCCCCCCCCCCCCGCCCTCCCACCCCGTCCCACGCCTCCCGCTTCTCCATCAAGCGCTTCGCGGCTGAAATCAGCTGCCGCGGTGTCTCGAAGACCAGCGCCAGGCGCGAAACGTCGCAGCAGTGCCGGAAACACGCGAAGCGCCCGTGCAGGGCCTCGCGGGTCGTTTGCATAGCCAGGTGTCGCCTGCCCCTAAAAGGGGCTTTCCGGGAGAGCGGGGCGGGACTATCCTGGGAAAGCCCAGGACAAGCCCAGGAAACGCCCTGAAAAATACGGGCTGATTGAGAGGCCCATGATTACAGGAAAGCAAGGGACAAATCTAGCGCGCAATGGCCCCACAAATCTAAACACACCATTGGACAGCCGTTGGGTTTTGTAGTAGATAGCCAAGTTGTGATTTCTACAGGCCCTTTGCTGTCTTTTATCTTGGGACACCCCAAAATGATGGTTGTCCTGTTGGTTCCCTTCAGCACCACCAAACAAGGGGTACCAACTCCAAAAAAAGGACGCCCCCACATGGGGTAGGTCCAAAAAATGGATGTGGGGTCTTTTCTCTTTCGGCTTGACAAAGCCCCTTTTAGGGGATATATAGTTTATTTGAAGGGAAAGGTCGAGGGAAACCATCGATTTACGGGTCCCCCCTACTTTAACACAGACCCAAATGGAAGCCCCTCACATGACGGCCCAAAATGACAGAATCACTGTGGGGTGGGTTCTATTTAGCGGCCAAAGTTCCAAACTGAACCTACAAAAAGGGCGGGTGGGTTCCCTTAGATTTGTTCGTTTCAGGATTCGCTTCAGTGGAGCCTGCCTGCGCACGGTGCATGGCCAAGCAAAGGCCGTGAAGCGCAGAGCGGAGGTTTTCCATCAAGGGCAGAGCGGCCGCTGCCTGACGTGGCAGGGGTCCGCTTGTGGCTCTGCCTCAAAATGCGGAATCCCTCTTCGGATGCGTTGAAATGGGAAACCAAAACGGAACCCAATCATTTTGTTGGGGTCCACAATTTTCAGAAACGTGCATGTGGGTCATGATTCTGGATTTTCTTAGGAGCCCTTAGGATGGTTGGCTAAAATTTCTATCGGCGTTGATGACGAGAGGCACCAAGCCCAAGTTGACCGTGGTGGGCTCCGTGTTAGTGGACCAAAGTTAAACCGTGCGTCTCTTTTGAGTCGGCATCGAGTTGGTTGTTTGCTCTGGAGTGAAACCAAAAAGACTCCATAACACTTCCTGGACTCCTGGGTATTATGGGGGTGGCGCGTTTGTTGGCGGATACCCTCTCTGGGGTGGCTTCAAAGGGCAGCCAATCATTTCGGGGTACCCCAATTACCGAATCAAGCTTCAGTTTGTGTTGACCATGTGGAAACCCTTTGGATAAGCTTGAACAGGGCTCCCTATATTCCCCCCCTTCACCCCCGCCCCGCTGAACAGAATCTCACCTTTCAAGTGCAAAAAGGTGATGTTTAAATCTAACAAAGAAGACGAATAGGAAGCCCTGAAGCCCTCACTGGAAACCAAACACCCGCCAAACCCCAAGACCCATGCGGCAAAAGTCAGCGGCCTCCACAAGCTCCACCACGCCCTCCTCCTCTTTGGAAGCGAAGACCAGATCCAACTTGGGCTGCAACTCGTGGCCGGTTCCTCAAGAAGAAGGTCTCATCTGGACGCACAGGGACAACCCTTCTTGGCTTTTTGGGCTAAGCCAAAGGAGTAGCATGACGGTCGCTGGACCGCTGGACGTCAAGGTGGGCCTGTGGTGTAAGTAGTGCAAACAATGTTGGTATTGGCCGAAGAATCCACATTTAGCCCAGCCCGAAGTGGCCCAAGCATAGTGAAATTGTATTCAAGCGCACAAACACGGCCAAACGCACGATTCGGTGCATGGTCCTTGCAATTAAGCTGCGCCAATCCCTTTCCGACTTTACAAGTGCAGCGTGCTGAGACTGGCACCCCACTGGACCTTCTGCTTGCGATACTCCTGTGCAGGGCTGGGAATCCCAGCATCACACATATATATATATATATATATACACGCGTCAATAACTCGAATGAGACACATCCAAATGGCTGTGGCTCACAAACATGTACTGAAGTGGCACCTTGGTAAATGGTACCAAAGACTAAAACCCGCGTGACCCTAGCTCTTAAACTTTGAGCCACATCCAAATCGGGGGAAACACGGCTGACAGCTGCATCGTCCTCCTCTAGCCTCATCCAATGATGGTCTACCGCATGCTGGGCAGCCTGCCATGGGCCCTCGACTCGGAGAAACCGCAGGGAACTCTCGGTAAATTGCCACAGGCGACGGCGAAATCCGCCACAGGCCAAGGGAAAAAAGAGATTGGGAGCCCTGACCCCCAGATTATGGGAGGTGGAATCCAGCCGTTCAAGGCAAATCGTCCTTCCGACATGCTCTATAAGGATAACAGGTTCAAAACTCAGCAAGTACTGTATATTTCGTTGGGCAGTCACCATGTGGCATAATTTTCGGAGTGGTCTATTGACCCCCCAAACGAAAAATTGCCGAGCCTCAAAGCAACGCACACACACACACACCTAAAGCAAACAGAATGTAGCAAAAGGAAAACCAGACCCTCTCCCTAGCCTGCCAGTTCAACCTCGTGTCCCGGTCATCAACTGCTGGCAATGAAGGAATGACCCTTATAAACCATCCCAGGTGGTTTCCTGTAACGGGACCCATGGGTTCCTTCCCTCATTCCCGACTGAGAACCAGCAAGTAAAGGGAGTCCCTGTCCCCGGCTATTGGTCGATTCGCTTTGGCCATCGCCTGCTGCGCCGAGAATTCCTCCGCAGGCAGGGCCGCGGCCGCGAAGGCCGCGTCCGCGGCAATGCCCAAAGCCCACCAGCGGCCTCGCCCAGATGGAACAAACCAAGGCCCCTGCATTTCTAGCCTAAAACATCAAGAGAAACTCGCCTTTGGATTAAACAATGGCGACTTTTGATAACACCAAGAAGACCATATTTGGTGGTTGTCTTTAAATTGGGGGAACCCCCAAAATGGGGGGGTTCCTCTGTTTTTCCCTTTTAAGGCCGTCCAAGAAGGGCTCCCCTCCAAGGACCCCGCACGGAGGACTGCTTCCCGCTTCCTATCGCATTGCAATGCTTTTTATGAGAACCTTCTTAAGCGTGCCTTTATTCAACGCGGGAGACGCATGCACATGGAAAGCCGAGCTTAGTTGCAATTCATTGCGCTTGTCCACATCCACGGTCTGTTTCATTGAACAGCAAAGGTTGCCACTCAGCACCTTTTCGAACCAGTCTGCAACAAAAACCTCAATCATTCCGCCCAGTCAACGAAGCGCGCCAGCCACTGCCAAGCCCACTGGCAGCTGCATGTGCTCCTGCGCTTTGCATCCGGGCGAAAAAATGAGGCAGAGTGTCCCCTATTCTCTACTTACACAAGTTTTGATTCGGACAAGTGCTATCATGAGTGATTCCAATTTGGATGTGTCTAAATAGTAGTTTTTTGGCCTTCATTTTCACACATCCAAAAGATTCCCCATGCTGCGGCGGCTGTCGACCAAATCCCTGAGGATGCAAGTCCAAATCTTCGGCTCCTGAATCAGCGCTTTGCTGCGAAGGCCTTGCCGGAGCTTTGCTCAGCTTGCCGTCCACCAAAATGGGTTGTGGTGTATGTCCAGGGTGGAAAATCACTCGAAAGATGCCATGATACGGTGTGTGTGTGTGTGTGTGTGTCTTTTTGTTGAGGTTTTAAAGGAAAGTCAGAAAAGACACCAGCACTTTCGCCCCCCCCCCCCAGGGAAAAAAAAAGGAAACGAAAAAAAAAACTCTATCACAAGAAACACACACACACACACACCCACCCATGGCATTGCCATATGACAAAGTCTCACTGTCGGGACTTCCCTTGGCCCCAGACTCTGGTGGCCCCGTGCCAACTTTCGGGGGGATAAAATTGGGTTCCCTTCTTTGGGTCCTGCCTCATACAGTCGTGACTTCGATGCCCATCGTTCTCTTTCTGGTGGCTCCGGTTTTGGTCTGGCCACACTTGTGGGGAGCGCTTGGGAGGCTTGGAAGAATCAAGGGCTCATGTTTCCAAAGACGTGAGGGGAGCAAAACAACTCGGCCCCGCCTGCGTCAAAGTGGTCAGCGCCAGCTCCGATCACGTCAGCATCGCCTGCGCAAGATCCGTGCGCGCTTGGTGCTTTGCGAGGGCAGCAAATCTCAGACGACTCTTAAAAAATTGGACATTACCCAACAATTTGTAGGTTCGTTTCCCATGTTTAAGGGCAGTGTGAGGGTCCAGGTACCGGGCACAGGGCTCGTTTTCCTCTTTCCAACATGAAAAGGCCCCTTGTGCTTCCATGATTTGGACAAAGGAAGTGTGCTCCGTCTGCTTTTGAGGGTACCAACTTTCTCGTATTTTTTGAAGGCAAACCAAAAGGAACCCTACTATTTTGAGGTCCCCTGACAAAGACACACCTGTTCTGTTGAATCCGGCTATTTTTTCCCATCAGATTTCAAAGTTCATCCGGCGCTTGAACAACTCGCTTCTGAATCAACGCCGTGTTAGAGGGTTCAGACGTTGGACGGGAAAAGCGCAATTGCAAATCTCCGGATTTACTCTAGCCGGAAGCAGTTTCTAAGCATTCAAATCGTTGCACTTGCCAAGTCCTGGCATAAACTTTGGTGCGAGGCTGTCTCTGTCCTACAAATGCGGATCCTAAGGAACTCCCCACCCAAACCGCAACGCGGTTGTCGAGCGCCTGGAGCTGTCCACCACAAGTGCTCCTGCCGTTGCCAACCGGGCGCCTGGGCAGCAAGCCCTGGGCGTTGAAAAGGAACCCACCCCCCTCTGTTTGTCAGGCTTCCTTAAGGACATCAGGGTTTTGAGGTGGACCACTCAATTTTCAGCGCGGCAACACGGTTTCGAACAGCAGAGAGAGCACTTGAAACCCCCAAAGGGGAACCGAGCCCGTTTTGCACAAATTCCCGTCCCTGTTTTTTTGTTTTTCTCCCCCGATTTTCCCTATGCTTTTCTGGGAAGGAAACCCCAACGAAGTGACCCGCAAGCACGGCTTTTCGCCGAGTGACCACCCGCGCGCTTGCCCACTCACTGCCGGGAGCCAGGAACTCCTGGCTCGGCACCGTCTTTAGGCTTGGTTTCAAGGAAAACCAAGAGAAACACATTGACACCCCGTTCACTTGAATGGGGATCCTCAAAAAGTACCAAGTGCATGACCAAGTTGGGCTTCACGCAAACATTCGGTGTATTTGCATTGCTTATGTGATTGACACCCATGCTATACGAATAATTAGATCTCAGTGGTGTTGAGGTGTTCTTTCAAACAGAAGTGAAGCAAGACCTTGTGCAACGTATGTCTGTAAAACATTGTAAGTTGATGGAAGGAACACATGAAGTTTTGAGATGGTGTGTCAATGAAACTTGGAATATAACAGCCGCTAAACAGCGGTTGTTTAAAAAATGCTTGTTATATAGATGTTGGTGCTATGGGTTTGGCACGCGTGTGAAACTTGCACATATGAGTATGAAAGTGTGTCCGTACTTCGGTGAGCAGAGCAAAGAAGCTCGTAGCAACCAAGTTCTTGGGTTGGCCATACTCTAGAGTCAGAGCAACACATGACATATATGCGGCAAATAGTTACAAATTCAGACTAGTGGATTGAAAAGCATTCAGAGGCCTGCAAGTCCACATCGTAAGCTATGAGTAGCCACATTGCAATACTTCATGTGCCTTGACAAGTGCAAACAAGTGCGCTCCCGAAGAGTGCTCTCTTTGACAAATGCGCCAGGGCCTCTAAACAACTCGAAGTTTGGGGCATTCACCTGGCCATGGGGCTGCATGGCTGTGGCAACGGGTTTGCCACGTTCCTGATCAATCTGACAAGTCGGTCCCAAAACGTTCCTGATCAATCTGACAAGTCGGTCCCAAACACAATATGTGATATGGTTAAACTCTTGTCGAGCATTGCAGCTGAACGAATTGGCCCATTGACGAGTTCCAGCAGGAGAAGTGGAGCACGGCATTGGTTTGACTCCACTGAAAGTTTGGTTGCTAGTTGATGTCCCTTGCAACATCTTCAACCACACTTCACAACGTAAAACCCGCATCATCCACATGCTCAGACCCAGTCAGCTTGCGGTCCTCCCAAGCCGTCCCCCATTTTCTTTATGGGGGGGCACCCGCCGCGTTCAGCCGAGCGACCGACCCCGGGCGTTTCAGGCGAGAGGCGAGCCAAACCGCCGGCCGCCGGCCTTGGCACGGCGGTGGTGGTCCTCCGCCTGCTGGTAGAGATCGGCCAGCGGCACCGGCCACTCCTCCTATCGCCACACGCCTACAAATCAACACGGAACCCACAAGAACGGAACCTCCTTTTTTGGGGAGCTCCTTTTTGGGTTCCATGTTAATGCACAGGTGAGTAGCCCTTCTGGGTAGGGTCCTCTTTTCCAACATTTCAATGAGGCGCTATTTTGGGGTCTGCCACCTTTTGGGGTTGAAGAGAAGCCCACGGAAAGCTGAAAGCCTGCAAATTGGATAAGACAGCTACCAAGCAGACAGCAACCAAACAACTCAGACTTCTTTTCAGTTGGCACATGGAGCGGTGCCAACCCATTTTCTTTTGGAAATCTCCAAATGTTGCTCACTAGACCAGGGAAGCTCCTTTTTAAATGGAGAATGAGTCATTTGAAACGTCTTCCATCGGTATCTAAGATGTGGGCAATTCCCACAACCCTGCTTCTTTGTAGGTGCTTCAGTTGAACATCCAGTGCTTTTGGGCGGAAACCAACATCTTCTCAAGAGGGCGTTTGTGCATATTTCACCAAACAAAAGGGGCGTTCGTCTCGGGATTGTCTAAGAAACCAGCAGGAGATTCTACAAGTTCGCCAACACACCCAGGGCATGGAGGATATTTGCCCCCAGGGCATGGAGGATATTTGCACCCAGGGCATGGAGGATATTTGCACCCAGGGCATGGAGGATATTTGCACCCAGGGCATGGAGGATATTTGCTTCTACCGTGTTCTTCCACAATGGCATCTTAAGGGTTGATTCCTTTTCCATTCTTTCCAACCTTCGTTCTTTTTGAAAACCGGCCGTTTCCCTGGGTTTCCGGAGGTTTTCTAGAAAGAAGGATCCCTGCAAAGAATGGGGAAGGTAGCACTTGATGGTCTACACGCACCTGACTGCAACCCCTGTGAAACCAGCTTTCAAATCGGTCTTCAATCGGGACACAGTTGATCCGAACACCTCAGATCCCCAAACATCTGGTGAGTTCTTTCAGAGTCTTCCGGCAGGCTCTATTTTTTTTAACATGGACCTTGGATCTCGCCGCATCTTGAACACAAACGGTCCAAGCACCTACGGAGGCACTCAGATCACTTTTTCACCCTCAACAGCGATATATTCTACAGATCATGGGCCTTCAGTTGCATCGCCTTGGAGACATGTTTTGCACTCAATCAAGACATTGTACAGCCCGAGCCCTTCCTTCCACACCCCAGTGAGGCAACCTGCCAACTCGCCAAGCCTTGAATTCAAACCCTTCGTGTTTTGCCCACGAAAAGTGACAAAAACAAAACAAGACCCGAAGAACTACGTCAGTGTCAACAGCTCCAGCCCTTGGCCCACTCCAGCCTCCGGGAAGCTCCGGCAAATCTCGGGCAAGCGCTCCTCCTTGCGGCCGAGCGCCATGGGGAGCAAGGCTCCTGCGCTCGGTGAAGCATCGGAAGTGTTCGATGGGGGCCCTATGGAGCCTTCTTCTGCACTTCACCCCGTGCATTTGCAAAGGGCTATGCATTTGTTAACTGCCCTTTAAGGGTCCATACAAAAGCGTTTGACTTCCGGCACTCGTGGTCTATTCAAAACCTCTCGCACGTTGCAACTCGAAACCGCAACCTTACGGCTGAGGGGACCTCTCCTGAACTCCTCCTGAACTCCAAAGGAATCGCTGAAATCACATTGTGAAAACAAAACATTGACTAAGGAGGCTCCAGTTTTTCCGAAGAAAAAACAGGCTCCTGGTGTTGAGACCAAGTTTGCCCCTGCTGTCATATTCCCATAGAACGCTTTTATGACTCATCCCCATGAACCAAGTGTCACAAGTGGTAGGTTTAAGGGACATGTTTGTGAAGGGCTCGAGGCACCTATGGGGTTAAGGGCCCTTCATACCCCATACCCGTTGCCTACTGCTGGTTGTGTTTGGGTGTGAGTCTTAACTGAGCCCCTGTGGTTGACATTACCTGGGCGGGACTTATGTCCACCCACCACTGGTCAGGTTCCAACTCTTGAAACATCACAGCCATATGAACCAACACGTGACTCACTCCTTCATAGCGCCGCAAGGAGGGGAGCCCGCACAGCTCTTGCGCATCGCGGGGCACCTGGCGACGTGCGGCGAAAACAAGCGCCACTTCGCGGCGCTGTCTGGGGGCTTCATGTGCGCCTGCTCCACCACGGCTCGCCACACAGCTTCTTGTGCGTGCCAGGCCTCGCGCGTGGAACTGAAAGCAATTCAGCGAGTCAAATTGCTGGAGCCAACCCTTTGGTTGAAGCTGAGGTAGTTTGATTGACCCCACCCAACAAGTGAATTCCCCGGACCGGTAAACTCGTAAACCAGGTATCCCCCCATTAATCCACCATCTCAATCCCAGCCTACCAGTCTCAGGCGCAACGATTCCAGTCAAGTCAGAATCTGGCTTCTCAGCTGAGTGACGGCCGGGGCCACAAAGGCCCACTGGTCTGTTGTTCTGTTTGGATGTGAGGCGCCCAAGAGATCGCATCCAGCTGTGGCGCAATGCCACATGCAGCTATGCAAGCTCTGAGACAATCGTGAAAACGGGGCCAACTGCCTTCTTAAGCCGAACTGTGAGGTGATCATGTGAGGTTAAAAGCCCACTTACCATGGAAAACATCTCCAAACGACATGAGATGGTAGTTCAGCCGCCAAAGCGGCATTCCAGTTTGGGTTGGGCTGCCGCCTTGTTGCAATTCCACGCCGAGTCGCCAAAATTGAATTAGATGTTGCACAACCACTGACCGAACTGTTGACTTGACTTTCGGGTCTGCGGCCAACCGTAACCCCCTTAACGCCCTAACCCCAGCAGCCAACCCGTGCGGGGCGCACCCCAAACTGCACGGTTGCAATAGGCCCTAAGCGTCTACCATACCTGACCCCCTCCCCCTTTAAGCCCCTCTTAACCCCCCTCCACCCCCCCTCCCAGGCCGCCCACCACAGCGCCGTAAGAACTGTCCCGTCCGCCTCATCCAGGAGCGGGGACAAAATGGTCTCCAAGTGCCAGGCGTCGCCTGAAACAAATCCGGCGATTTGGAGGTCCCAAAAAGGGCTCGGTCCCGGTCCGTCCGTGTGTGAGTTGGCTGAAGGGGCCCTCCAAGTGGCGGGAATTGGCCTTTTGAACCTGGAAAGAACTTGTTTGGGGCGTTTTGGGATCTCAAAAGGTGCCCCTTGCTTTGGGCTTCCCCCTTATAAAAATCTTACCTGCCATACCTGGGAGGGTCAAAAGTTAGAGAATCTCCGTAAGTTGAGGGGTTCAAACCCCCAAACCACCAACCACCAAACCACACCACCTTTTTCAGGGCAACCTGAAGCCCTTGCCTGGAAACAAGCTTAGAGAGTTCCTTTGAGCCTACATGTTCGTCCAAACACCAACAACAAAGGAAACTCGATCGCTTAAGTTTGCCTCTTCAACAGGTGATCTTTATCACACCCGCAGCCCCACAGCTGCGAGCAACAAGTTCCAAATGCTTTTGCTTCTACCAGTATCGTTGTCAAGGGCAATGATCGTCTCGGCCGTGGTGATCCAGTACTCAAGTTTTCAAGTTTGCAACCAAGTTGGTAAGGGTTGCAAAATGATTGAACACGAGATTTATCGTTTCACTGCACACTTCAGCTCTGAAAAACCGATGCCACGAGTACGGGAGCCAAAGGCCACTGAAACTGAGTGCTGTTTTCCACTGGATGATTGACATCTAAAGGCACCTGGAGCCAGAATGGTCACCAACTTGTGCTTTCTAGTTTTTCTTGAGTAATTACCCTTTCTGGGTCGATTTCATAAAAAGGGAATTCAAAGCGGCTCTTTAGAGACACACTCTTGTGGACCCGCACCTTCCACCATCAAGCCGTCCATGAGAAGCCTGGCATGTTGAAAGCGCAGCTCCAAGGGATCGAACATAACATTCAAAGCACATTTGCATCCGAGGTTTTCTTTCTTAAGTGGAATATACTCTTGGGAAATGACAATCACACGCGTGCAAGGTTCTATCTACAAATAGCACCAACTTGCAATTTTCCCGGTGACAAACCCTTGGATTGCAGCAAGGTACCCAGCGACAGTGCTCAACGCCCAAACGATGCCAACCAGGGTTTGCAAACGTGCCGCAATAGTCGTCAAACATCTTGCGTGCGGAACACGGAGCAAATGTGTTCCAGGCAGTGCTTGAACACGAGCAGAAAGGGGAACAACAATGCCAAGCAGCTCCTAGGCGTTCTGGTTCTCGTTTGCATCCAAAACAAAGTCAACGCCAATAATTACCCGAAAATCCTTGACGTGGGAATCCGCCGAGTTGGCATTTTACTTGTTGTGCCACTGGAGCTCCTCCAGAAGGCTATATTTGGAGGCTCGACACCCTTTCTGGGGTCACTTTCAAGGGCAACCAAGGCAAAAGCATCCATTTGTTGGAGAACCCGCTCATGTGTTGGATACAGCCAACTTCCCATTTTTCTGGAAGCACCGCTACTATTATGACACATTCCCCATAAAGGGATTGCAAGAATCGGGCACCTACAGAAATCAACAGTGGGAAGCGCAAACGGCTCCAACAGTGACGGACGCCTTTGGGCGATCCGTTTCGTGGCCATTCTAGTGGCTTGCACCATTTCTGTGTTGTTTAGCGGCCATTGGACGATGCTTGGACCAATGTTAGTGCTCACCTGACAAGACGAACGCCTATGAAACAGGCGAACTCTGGGCCACCGTGCTCAAAGGGCCACATGATGGCGACGTTCAGGTTGTCCTCACGCATTTCTTTTTTGTTGGCATCCGGCCTTCCCGCCCTTGAGTTCAAAATGGAGGGTTGGCCAATCCTAATCCATGGTCGGGAAGCCACTGCAAAAGGGACCAAACTCCTTGCGTCACCAGGTGAGGATCTTGCGGATTGCCTTTGAACAGCCCAGGTGAGAGCCCTGTTTGGCATCCTTTGCCAAAGGCGGGTCGGGGTCCAAAGTTGGCTTCCGGGCCGCTCAATTCCAGGTGCCTTTGGTGCAGGTTGCATGGCGTGAACAGTCGTAGAAATAGGCCACCTGCAAAAAAATGAATATGTTTTTTGCTTTGCCGTTAAACAAACACGCTATAACGACTATACCATGCATCCAGTTTACACTCTGATCTCCTCTGCTTGCAGCGGCCACAGCGCTTGTGTCACCTGGGACTTTCCCGAGATCCTTCTTGTCAGGTGATTGGCACAACTGAACTGAACTCACAGTGGTCTCAACAGAAGGATGGACCCATGGAGGAGAAGAGTGGAAGCCATTCGTCGGAACGTATGAATGTCTGCAACAAGTGACAAAGCATCAAATTAAAACGGAGACTTGGTAGCGTCGCCAGACTTCATGCCTTTGGCTTCTCCAACTGCTTGGTACGCAAAGCAGATCGACCAAGAAGATGCCATCGACATGGTGTGGCCGGCTCGGTACCGTGCGGCTCTTGCGGGGGGCTCCATACCTTTTGAGACCTGGTTAAAACTTGACGCCCCCGTTTTCGTTTGGCTGGTTTGACTCACAAGCAAATCGACCCGATTTCCAGCTGGTCAGTCCCTGCCTCGTGCAGGCGCTGGACGAGCGACGCAGCCACGGCCCTGCACCAATGCACACCTCTCACCTGGGTTCAAGTACCTCCCCCCCAAAAGCCATCCTCAGGAGATACTTGGACCCTTTGAATCATGTGGCCATGACTTTCCGCGGCTAAAACACCCTCAAACATGATTCATTGGTAGACATACTTCCCGATATAAATGATATCGAAAATGGAAAACCCATACCCGAACAAGTTCCATGCCCCAAAATCACCACGGCATCCAGTTCGTAGTGCTTTTGACCTCCGAAGGATGTCAGTCAAAACATCCCCCCTTCTGTTCCGCATGTCGCACGAGTCGCAGGTTCTGAGATGTGCAATTCAACAACCACAAAAGGAGCGCACTTCCCCAAGCAAACAAGGTTCCGCTGATTTCCGTACTTTCTCAGCAGATGTCCGTACATGTCCCGCCGATCTCCGTGCATTTCCGGTTTCTGCATTTTGGATGAGAAAACTGCAAACTTGCAAAAACCGCAGGGAAGCTGTCGCACGTTGCCCCACAGCAATTGGAGACGAATGACCTGAAGCGGAACTAAGTACAACGGGCCATGCAAATTGCAAACTGTGTTTAAGTGAATGCAGGTTCGTGCATATTTTTCGGACATGTACGGAAATTTCCGTACTTTCGGAGGGTGCAGGCACATGCGCGTGTGCACGTGTGAATGGACACGGAATTCGCTTGCTGGCAATCTTCTCTGACTCACGCAACACCTCCGCAACCACTGGATCCCAAGCTCACAGCTAACCATAAACCACCCCGCGACTGACGCCAAGCTGCCAAAACTCCAACACAACTTGTTTCGTACATCATCCAGTCCCAAAGCTCAGAGCCTTGCTGAGGATGCGTCCAAGATCCTGGAGCAGATCTTTTGCTCGGCGTTTGGCCACGCAGGCAGGCACGCATGAATATCGATGCATATCTTTTCCCACCGTCAATGGCCCACAGGCATCGCGCGCGACAAGGGTGCCCACTCCCAAAACCAAACCCACCCAACTCTCTATGGCGGGAGACTGTCCGGACTATGCAAAAGAGATGGCCGCTTTTGATGTCGATCTCCACCTGCAAGTTGCGAAAGTGTTTCATCCGGAACCCCGGCTGCTATCAACTATGTGTCAAAAACAAATAAAGATTTGGACCCTAAAAAATGGATGGTTCGCCTTTTGGAAACACGAGTTATTTGGGGGCGGGGGCGCCCACCCATCAGCGCGACGATTCCACGTGAAATTGTGGCCTTTCGAGCAACAAAACACCGAAGTGAATGCCTGCGTTTGGCTGCCGCCGTCGCCCTGTTGCTGAGCAAACCAGTCACGTTGATCGACTTGTTAAGCGGCACTTTTTTGAAACTCCGGTGGGCGTTGACAAACTGCAGAAAATCTGTAGAACGGACATTGTATCGTTTGCCGTAGAAGGGTCAGTTCTTGCCGTAGAACGCACATTTTTGGGGAGCAGTTTTGCAGCCGTTGTTTCGCACTTCTGATTTCACGTCAATCCCGCGTTGGACCAATCGACGGCTAGTGCATAAACTAGGTTGACAAATGAGACTATCCGGCAGAGCTGCCCTACTGACACACGTGTTGCAATAGTGCACGAAGCATGCTGCATAAAAGCGCCTTGCTCAGCCGATTGTAGTCTCCATTGAAAATAAGTAAAGATAATCACCCTTCCCAAACCATCATGTATTTGAAGCTCATTTGCTGTTGGAACATAACCAGCCTGCCCTAACCACTGGGCAGGCTGGCTATGCTCCAACATTTTCAGGGGGTTGACACAGTCTACTTTGCTTGGAAGTGGGCGTCATTAACAAATGAAAAACATCCTTTTCCAAAAGAAATGTACCGTGCTACCTCAGCCATTCAATTAGTTGGCTTTGGAAGTGTAGGGTTCACACAATCAAAAGCCAATTACTCGATGGCCACACACAGGTTGGGAAGCCTGCACCTCTGAAGCCAGTGGCGCTTCTGGGAAAGAGCGCTCTGGAATCGCCACGCCGGTCAAACCCGCGAAGCTCATGCCCCAGACTGGCCGCACACCCAGATTCTAGTGTAGCTGCAGGAACAAGAAGGTAGTGTGCCATTTGCATGCGCCGCTTGTTGGGCAGGGTAGAAAAAAGCAAGGGGCAGCTTGCACTATCAGTGCTTGCTACATTTCTTTTCCTCAAACAAGCTTCAAGGGTTTGACAAAGTAGAAACATGTAGGTGGCCCTAGCCTGGTTTTAAGGCAAACAACCGGAAACCGCCCATGTTCAGGGTCCTATTCAGGGCACCGCGCCATCATGCACTTTGCGACATGCGCCCGGCCTTCCGCGCAAAGGCCACGTCCTCACAGTTGCACATCGAAGCAGCCGCCACTGCCTGCCATGGCCCAAATTTCAGGCAACCGACTTGTTTATATGTTTGGGCGCAAGGGGGCGGGTCGTGTGTAGACTAGCGTTGGTTGTAGGCTTAGGGTTGATTTGTGTAGGGTTTGCTTGGCACCTGTTTTGGGTTGCTTTAGCGTTCTGGGTTGGTGTTGGTTTCCGGCGGGGTCTGGCTGGTTTTCGGCGTGCTTTGGGGCTGGCCGAGGTGACCTTTAGCTTTAGGGTTGGTTTTGGGCTTTGGGGGTTTGCGGGTGCGCCGGCTGATCTTTGGAGTTTGGCGAAATGATGGACTTAACGGCGCGCGCGGCTTCAGTCATGGAACGCTCTCTCGGCGCAGACTTGATGCCTTCATCGTCGTCTGTGTGGCTGAGGAAAGCATGCGAGCTGGTTGATGATACATTCTAAGTGCTTCACACGCCATCTTGTCGCGTTGCAGAGTGTGTTCGGTCGTATACAGATTCCTCGTTTGCCCACTACTCAGAAGACAATCTCCGGCGCAAAAGGCTGTGCGATTGGAAGTTGTCGCAGCCTTGCCTGAGTGTGCAACTGCCCCGCCGCGTGACCAAACAAACGACCACTCATGGCTTGCTGGCTCGGGGCATTTGTCCGGAACCTGAAGGAAGCTCCACGCCAAGCTTGTGCCCCAAACTTTGCCAGCTGCCCCTCTGAGCTTGTCACTCTGTTCAAGCTGTCTTTGCCGGCTGCCCTTCCTAAATTATCACTCTTTTCGGGCACGTTGTGGCCTGCTCGCAAAGCAGTTCCTCAATTGTCACCAAACCTGTAACCTCGGGGGCGACTTGTGCTTGAGACATCGACACGGGCAGGTCCGTCCAGTGCACGAAAATGAATTGTCACTTGTAAAAGCCGGCGAAGAAATGAAGCCAATGCTCAAGGCCGCAACAGTAAAACAATTGGTGTCAAGTCGCAGCCGATATGGCGGAAGGTTTTTGAAGTGTTTGTTCCTACGTTCGGCGAGTGTTGTTTTTCCTAGGTTCAGCGGGCACTACGATACTGCATTTACGTACTCTCTAACAAAATGCTTCAGTTTTACACTAGCACCATCAACGTCCCCCGCACCGTCTTTGGCACCCCCAGCACCGCCTTGACACCCCCAGCATCGTTTTCAACGCAGCGTGACCAATAGCTTTGGCGTAAGGTTACGGTGGGTTCAAGGATTGTTTAGGGTGGGTGTGGGCATAGCTTGGGCTTCTTTAGGGTTGCTTTAAGGTTTCTGTAGGGTTTCTATAGGGCGGGTTTAGTGTGGGTTTAGTTGTGGTTTAGGCTGGGCTTAGTGCGTGGTTTAGGGTTGGTTTGGGATGGTTTAGATAGGGTTGGTCTAAGGTTGGTATAGGACGTGCTTAGGGCTTGTTTAGGGTGGTTTGGGGTGGGTTTTGGGTTTAGGGTGGGCTTGGCTTTCAAGCTGGTTTAGGGATGGGTGTAGGGTGGGTTTAGGGTTGGCTTGGGGTTGGTTTAGGGTGACTACAGGGTTGGGATAGGGTTTGCTACGGGTTGGTGTAGCGTTGGTTTGGGGAGGTTCAGCCGGTTGGTGTAGGGTTGGTTTAGGGCTCGTTCAGGGTTGGTTTAGGGTTGGCTTAGGGTGGGCGTAGTGCTGGCTTGGGGCGGCTAAGGGTTTGCATTTGGGGGTTTAGGGTTGGTGGGTCTAGATTGGTATAACGTTTGGTCAGGGTTTGCTGAGGCTTGGTTCAGGGTGCCCGGAGGAAAGCGTTATATTGAACAAATAAACAACAGCAACAAACTGAATAATCCCAATAATCTGTTGATCTAGGGTGGGTAAAGGCTTGTCATTCACCTGACCGACCCGCGCGGCCCCCCCTTACCGCTGAGCAAAACTCGGCGACATCTTGAAATGTTGCTACCCAGAAAGCCAAGTTACTTTTTCTTTGTGCCAACCACTTTACCCGAACAAGCTTGTTCGCGGGAAAACACACCCGCAGCAGATAGGGGAAACAAAGGCAACTTGCAATCCAGGGTGATTCCAATGCTGGAATCCTGGAAATCAGGGATCTCCGTGTAACAATTCCACATATGCCTCGCTTTCGTGACTGAAGTCATGGGGCCCCAGGCCTTGGCAAAGCTGTGAAGCTTGCACTTGGGTCCTGCGGCAACATGTCAATGGAGCGACAAAACCTGCTATATGGGGGTGGGGGGCTGTCTTTTTTCAGGGTACCCCGTTTTTGTGGTTTTGAGGGAAACCCAAAAACAAAACACCATGTTGGGGGTCCTCTACAATATAGTGAGTGTGTGGCTGTACATCCCATGAAACCCCTGCGGGTACTGGTTTTGGGGTGGAAACCATCTTAGAA